AACTGAGCATAACAACGACAACATAATTAAGCGAAAACAATGGAAGATGTTGATCATAATTCATTGTGATTTAAACCGTTAATCAAATTTCATCCTCTACCCTCCCTGTAACTCCCACCAACAAACATAACCCTTGGGGATGATTATCGTCATGAGCAAGGAACCAGAACTGAAAACATCTAAGACTGGGTCGAAAGTTACTTCTTAATTGTTACCTATATTCAAATCAATCAATAATAAATTGTAATCTATTATCTTCATCATAGTATGATAATTAATTGCATTCAATTTATGATTATTTTTACACTGAATTCACGTTCCAATGAATAATCAGTTGATTATCGTTGAAACTTTTGGGTGAATTTTTTTCTTACCTTTGAAAGTTACAACAGCAAAAAAACAGAAAGTTTCAAATGTTAATCTTTGAATTGAGTGTAAAAAGATGAACACATAAAATTTAATTGAATTTGATTCAATTCAATTCCAATTCAATTGTATTATCATTATTATTCCATTGAGTTTGTTAACATGATCATGAATGAGATTGAAAATTGTGAATGAAATGCTGACAAAATGAAAAATATCTCGTTCTAATTGAGGACAAAAAAAAGTTCACAATCAAATTGAATCGAGAACTAATCAACTTATCATGAAATCTTCTCATATCTATTACCTCATTCCTCCCTGGTTATCATCATGAAATATTGTGAAGAGACGTGAAAATAATATGAAAATATTTTTTTCTTCCTTCAGTAATCAGATCAATTTTTCATTCATTAAATTACAATCATCAAAGTTCATTTGATTATCATGGATTTGTGAAAATCCTCATCATTAATTGAGTCCTTTTATCATTCTAATCTCTCTCACCCCTTTAAATTGTTTGACATCATCATGATTATTACTAATTACTTTCCCTGTCTCAAGATAATCAAGAGAAATAAATTTTATTGATTAACATCATTGTCACAGTGTATTCATTGAACACGAGAAAATCAATACACCAGTAAAATAATACAATTAACTTAACAGTTGAGTTAACCATGATGATGATGATGATAACGGTAATCAATGATTAGAGATGTGCAAGAATGATAATAACGGTTAACAATTTAGTAAATTGCTGTAGTCATAGTGAGGAAAAAAAGAGTTGAGAATTTAATTTGATTTAATGATGATAATAGATTTGAATATGTTTATTATTAAAATCAAATCTATTTTTGACTCATTATTATTAATAATATTGATTATGAGAAAATTATTTCATGGGCTGAAAACTCGAGGTCTGATTTATTGAACTTTTTTTTTCGTCAGGGACAATCAGAGATTTAGTTTGATTTCTTTGTTGATTGTCATTCTGTCAACGATATAAATCATCTAACCATATACTGGGTGTATTGATGATGATGATAATAATGTTGATTGTTGTTATCATCATTTCTATTATGATTAGTTAACCATTAACAATCATCAGCTGATATTAAATCTAATGCTTTGTGAAAAGAAGATGAAATGATTTTTATGACAAAACAAAAACGATTTCTTATCATTCGATCATCTTTTTCATCATCATTCTCATCATGATTTTAGGATAGGAAGAGGAGGGAGAGAGAGAGAGATGACAAAGAAGGATGAGGATGAGGATGGAAGAAGAATAAGATGAAAAAATGATAAAAATTTTAAATTCCAAGAGAAAACAAAATAAAAACAAAGATAATTTTCCAATATTATTGTGAACTGAACTGTCGAGAGTTATTATGATTTTTATGATGGAAAAGGATGAGGAACAGTGGGTCGTGTTGATAGAGAGGGAGGATAAAGATGAAGATGAAGATAAAATGTTTCAGGATGTGGTTTCTTGTTAATCGTTATTGAAGCTTAACAATCAACTTCTTGAATTATAGTTGGATGAACAATCGAAGTCACTTTTTCCATTCTCGTTCAAAAAGCCAACAACATATTCACACTAGAATGAAACTTGAAAGATCACTCATGTAAACACACTTAGTTATCATCTTCATCATCATCTTCATCTTCATCATCAACGTTTAATCTCATCTCTTACTAATCACCATCATCCTGATCCTCATCCCACTCAATAAGTGTTCAAATAATTACCATAAAGTGTTTCTCATTTCATCAATAATGAAAAATTATCATAATCAAGCTTCATCTCAATTGCTATTTGCAATTCAATGCAATCAACGTTTATAACAATTACCAACTCAATTGCTGGACAATTAGTTAATGATAAACTTACTAAGCATAATAGTTGATCATTAATTGTTACTCTACTGTTAAATTCAGTTGATTGAAATGTAAATTATTGATTTGTAAATGTAAAAAATTCATTGGTTACCTTGGTTACATTTAATTGTGATGATTTAACAATTTAATTACTTATGAAAAAATCACAATTGATGAGATTAGATAGATTGAATAACAATTAACTTTATCATTATCAACATCAATGCTTGAATATTGATTGATTGCTAAGTCTTAAGACAATTAACTTTAATTGTTTGTCAAGTTTTTTGACAACCACTAGAAACAAGCAATTTGTAACAATACAGATAAATCAATTAATCAAGTAAACATTGAAATTAAATCAATTTCATTTAACTAATATGTCATGAATAATTAGTTACTCTGATTGGATTGTCTTTGATTTAATTTATTTTAAAATTAACCAATCAAGCAAGAAAAAAAAAAGTTCAATTGAATCAATTGTGGCAGTTGAATTGAATTAAAATTAAAATGAATTTGTATCAACAACTAAAAGTATTCAGAAATAAATGAAGTAAATTGTGATTCCGATTTTCATGTGTAATCATGAAACTATTCAGGATTTGGATTGCCAATTATCACTTGATTAGTCCCCTAGGTATTAATATGTAACATGAATTAGTTTAATTTCATCATGTTAATCATCATCATGTTTAACTTGACCTTACCTTTGCTTACCTTTTAAATGAATTCATCTACCTGAATATGTATATAAAAAAGTTCAGTGATTCTGGTTGATGAAAATTCAGTAAGATAAATAAAAGGCAATCTTATTTGTCCAACACCATAATGATTAGATTTTGCTTAACAAGATAATCAACTTAATTGGTCAACGATGATTAATATCGACAAGTTCAGTAGTTTCAGTTGATTAGCTGAATCTTTTTTTTGGCTCCCTCATGGTGAAAATGTGATGTCAGCGTCTCTTCATGATGATAGTTTACCTTTTAGAAGAAATTTTTTTTTCTTTTATCTTCCTTTATTCATCCAAGAATCACCCTGAGATTGGAAATCAAAGCAGATGAAAGATGATAAAAGGATGATGAAGAAGAAGATGAAAATGAGGAGACAAATAGACCCAAATATATATGTAATCATGATGATGTTCAATCTTGAGGAGAAATAAAATTCTGATGATTGATAAAATAACAACAATAAATGTCGAAGAGAAAAAAAAGAAAACGATATTTACGAAAGAAGAAAAATAAAATCGATATTCTTCATCTTCATCTTCATTTCATCTTCTTCTTATCTTCATGTTGCTCATCTTATTCTAATAATAAAAATTTCCATGAAATTGTTTGGTAAAAAAATAAGAAAGTGAAAGATAGAAAGAAGAGAAAAAAAAATTCATTCAGAATTTCGGATAAGCCTGAATTATGGAAAAAAGAAGAAAAAATTTCACCAATATGATTCTCGTCTAAATGCTAACAAAGTTATTAAAATGAACTTTAATCTTTGACATAAAGATGATGAAAAGTTCATGATTATCATGAGCTCAGAGTTACAGGATAACAATAATGATCTTAAGTCCTAATTGAAGATTGAGATTAAATCATCTTAATCTTAATATTCATCTTGTACTCTAACATGTAATACTATTTGTAACATTACCTTGTAATCCAATGCTTCAATCCAAGAATTATCCACCACCCACCCTGTTTATCACTCTCCCTCTCCCTCTCCCTCTCCCTCTGTCTATGTCTTGACGAAGCAAAAACTGAATCTTTGAAGAGGAAAAGTTCAGTATGAAACATGTATATGAGTATTACCCCAGAATGATTTCCATGGACCCATGAGCATGTTCAGAAAAAAAAGTTTCATGATAAATTGTGATGATGATGATAACCCAGAACGAGAAAGGCAATCAAATGTTTGAAAAGTTATCTCACATTCTGACAGGATCATTATTTTATTTTCACCATGAACATGTTCATTCATAAGTAATAATATCTTTGTCTCTGAAATATTACCATGGAGAGGCAAAAAAAAATAGATAAATATTATTATGATTATGATAAAAAAAAAGTTCAATGATAATCATGTTCACAACTCAATTGAAATATTGTTTTACTTTCAGTTCAATATATTAATAATAATCTGATAAACTTGATGATGATTATACAATATTAATTCATAATCATCGTCATGAATTCAGGTAAATTATTATCATTAATATATCACCATAATTTTGTACCAATTTAGTGTAAATCGTAAATCTATTCACTAAAATGTAACATCAATTCATGTATTTCTGTTAACAAGGTTTAAGTTTCCCACTCGGTGGAAGGTGGGAAATATTTACTCTCTCTCTCTCTCTTTACCTCCTTGAATAATGAGTTTCAGTTTCACCAGAATTACCTTTCAATTTGCTTACAAATACATGGTAATTTTATGGTGACAAATTTGGTGACAAAACTGAAACTTCAATTATCATGTTAACGAAAACACTGAATTAAATGAACCATTGAAATTACAGTTTTCTCAAATTCTCATTCTCAATATTTACTCATCTCTCTCTCTCTCTCTCTCTCTCTCTCTCTCTCTCTCTCTCTCTCTCTCTCTCTCTGATTTGTCTTCTTAATTGCTTTTGATTGTTTATTTTAAATTAGAGAATAAGAATAATCATCTAAGTGAATATTTTCCATTCGATATAAAAATTTTCCATGATAACAGAATTTTAAATTGTTTCTTTCCTCATGATTGTCTATTAGTGTACTTTTCAACCGGGACATGGATGGACTAAAGGTGGATATGAATGTCGATGTCGTGACGGCTATTTCGCTCCTTCCGCTTCCTTTACCAAAGATAAGACCAAAAGTAGCCAATCTTTCAATGGAACCGAAGTTGAGAAAGCTTGGAACGAGAAATTAACCAATCAAGGGTAAATTTAAATTCTCTCATTCATTAAATACAATCAAGAAAATCTCATCCATCATCATCATCTCCATGAAAATTATCAAATCTTAATGTATTAGATAATCATATAATATTTACTAATAACAGGAGATAATAAAAACAAAAACTCTTAATGATAGTTTTGCATGGTAACATTTTCACAATCTTTATTTTATTTTTTCACCAAAATGATTAACTATCGATTAGTTAATCAATTAATAACATGATAGACAATTTATTCTGATATAATGATGGTGATAATGATGATTAACTCTTGAGATTGCATTAATATCACAAATACATGATAATAATGAAATGTTTGATTACTCAATATACTTGATGTCCAGAAGTGTCCAGTATGATATGATTTATGTTTGCCAAAAATGTCAACCAGGATGTGATACCTGTAAGGACAATTCCCCTTGCCTGTCGAGCTACAATTGGGCTTTTCGGATATCGTTACTTACTTTCTCAGTCATATGTATCTTTCTAACCACCATGTTAGCTTGTTATATTTACAAGTATCGAAAGTTAAAAGTGTTCAAAGTGGCCAGTCCAATATTTTTGTGTATCACTTTACTCGGTTGTGCGATCATGTACCTTGAGGTAAGTTGTGGGCAAAATTTGAATATAATTTCATGGGAGCTTCAATTTCAACTTTTCTGAGTACTGACCTGACTTGTTCTTGTTGACATTTGTTTAGATGGCGGCGATATTTCCGGTTCTAACAACGGCCGCTTGTATTGCTACGAAGACAACTCGACACATGGGCTTTTGTTTAACCTATTCAGCGTTATTATTGAAAACTTGGCGGGTCTCCCTTACCTATCGGGTTAAATCAGCTCATAAATTGAAGTTAACTGATAAACAGCTTCTTCAATGGTTATTCCCGATTCTCATGATAATGGCCATTTATCTTGGTACCTGGACAATTTCAGCTCCACCTCAGTCAATTTATATCTACGATTGGAATAATTTAAAATTTAAAATCTGTGAATACAATTGGTGGGATCATAGTCTTGCCATCATGGAATCTTGTTTCCTCCTTTGGGGTGTAAAAGTTTGTTATAATGTCCGAAATGCTGAATCGTTTTTCAATGAGGCCAAATACATTTGCTGGGCGATCTACAATATATCCGCTGTTAATGTTACCATGATTTGTATTCAGTAAGTTGAACTCAAATTTTGATCAAGAACTTTAATGAGAATCATTTCTGATTTCATTGAATTTCCCTCATTTTTTTTCCATTACAATCAACAGACCAATAAATGATTAAATTAATCAATTCGATATCTTATTTGATAAAACAATTTAGTAATTGTTATATTGTTATAAGAAACTGATTTGGTTCCAATTGATTGATTAATTTTGTTCGTATCATTGATTCATTTGTATATGAAGTTTCCGATTTCACTTAATATAATTTTCAATAATCAACGATAATCAGTTGATTGTTTTCATCGATTTTGAAGAGTTTGAACATTTCGATGTTTAATTTAATTGTTTCCTATTTTTCTTTGTAATTGTTAACAACAGTTTGATATTATTACCGAAAGCGGGTCCTGATGGTAAATATTTTTTCGGTTTCATCAGAACTCAATTGTCCACAACAACCACAATCGCGTTTATCTTTGGGCCCAAATTTTATCGAGTTATTAAAGGTCAAGGTGACGCTTGGGATAATCGAGTTCGTGCTCGAGGTATTAACGCTTCATTCTCGTTGAACGGAGTTGGACTTGTCCATGAAGAGACTCACGATTTGTACCAAGAAAACGAAGAGCTAAAAGAGGAGATTCATAAACTTGCCACTCAAATTGAATTGATGAAATTAATGCAAATGGAGATTAACAATCGACACCTTAAGCCGAAACACCTTCTCGCTTCAGGTCACCATCATATCTTACCGACTGTCACCATAACCGCTAATCCTGCATCGACGGGAAGTGTCACTCAGTCACCGATTGTGAAGGCTTGTTACTCTCGATTTGAGGCTAACGACGCTCCGTCACCACGGATCTCACCGGCCGCTGAATTGGCCTCAGAACGGGTTTGAAACTTTTCCTCGGCCGCTTTTTTTTTATATATCATTCAATGTATACATCTTCTAATCCAACTGATCAAATCTAAAACGTAACAATTTATGTAAAAATCAAAATTAACTGCCAATTGCTATCATCAAAATGATGATAAAAAGAATCAACTAAATTAATTAATCATTCTGATACTTAATTGTCTCATTTTTTGTTTCAATTTTTCTTTCCAACATTGGAAAACTGAACAAATTAACTACTTAATCAATTCTAAATTTATATTTAATTACCCGTCCAAAGATTTAACCCCTTTAATTGTTTGGTGATTCTAAATTGTGTGTTTTAATCACTCTCTAAATCAGCTTATTTAACTGTTCAAACTTTTCATCTTCATCCAAAAATTAATTTGATAAATTGAAGTTTTTCCTAAACCACCAACGAATCAAATCATGATTACAATCGGTAGCCAACAATTAAAGATTTTTTTCAATTAGATTGCAATCAAATTGTACGAACTTACAATTAAAATCACCCAATTGGTAAGAGAAAATACTTGACAATTAATAAACTGTAATGTACAAAAGCTAAATGATTGATTAAATTATTAATCAAAATGACAGAAAAAAAGTCAATCAATTAGATTTGGTTGTTGATCAACTTTCGATAGCAATATATTGAAGTAACCATAGAAATTTAGATTGTAACAATTTAACTGCTTAGTTGAAGGCGAAAAAAAGTCAATTGAAAATGTGGTCCAATTGTTCATTGATTGTAATCAATTATCACCGAGTGATCTTATTTATTGTCACACGAATTGTAATGGTCACTTTATGTTCATTACAATTATGGTCAATAACAAAAACTTATATGGACGGAAATACAATATCCAAAGTTGACCTTTCGTTTCCCGACTATTTGACCCTTCCCAGTGTTTCCCTTTGTTTAAACTTCCTGGACACACTGAATACCAGTGCCATCGTTTCCGTTTCCCCTTCGTTAGCTCACATATTTGAGGCCTCTCAGGTTTACGCTGAAGATCATGTAACCCGACACAATCATCTGATTGAGTTATATGAATTTCTTGGTAATCAAAGTTTGAAAGAGTTGAAAAACTTGATGAAAACCCAATTGGACTCCCTGTTGGAAGATATCACTCCCACTCAGTTGGAGCCCGATGATGGTTCAAGTGTGACCTGTGACCTGGTTCGATATCTTCATGAGCCTCATTTTTGTTACACAATCACTTGTACCAATGGCGAGACTGGAGAACCAGCTACATATCCTCGAAGTACAATATTCGAGCCTCGATATGGTGGCCGAATGTTGACCATTGGTTTAAATTGGTCGGTAGTTCAACCGATTAGCAGGTCAGCGTCTCTTTTATTCACCACTTCAGGTTCACGTGTTGGCGGATCTTATTATTCATCTTATTCGGTTGATCTTAGTTCAGCGCCGAGTACATTCATTGTAACCTATTCAATGATTCGTAACAATTTGGCCTCAGTTTCAACGGAAACAAAATGTACACCCGAAGGTCCACCAAGTGAGGGTAAGGGAGATCAAATCATTCGATTCAATTATTGTACCAATCAAAGGTCAAGGTCAACTTTGGGTACTTCGTTTTATGGAACAATTCAAAGGTTGGACGATTTAACACTCGAAGATCTGAAGCCGGGCTACAATCAATATTATCGCGAATTTTTAACACCAAATTTGACCCAACGGCAAATTGATCGATCCATTTTCCAAGATATCAGGTCAGCTTGTTCCGAACAAGTTACCTCGCCCAATTGTGTCACCGAGATTTACTCACCTTTTGGCGATAAATTTGCCGAAAAGGACAAAAACGACTTTACGATCGTCATCAATGTACCAACAGTTCCGTTCGAGAACAATGAATTTTTCCTCGAAGTCGCTTTACTAGACTATCTTATTTACATAAGCTCATCTCTTAGTTTCTGGTTTGGTATTTCGATTATATCGATTGTTAATCGAGCCTCATCATCGTTTATTAAGTATCTTGATTCAAGACGATCAAAGGTAAAATCAATCAACAGTTTAGCTGAACAACAATTAACTCGGAGGAAAAGACTTGCAATTAAACATAAAGTTCCCGATCGAGTTGGTCAATCTCGAGTTCTAAGCAAATTCAATTCATTGAATAAACATTTAGGTGACAGTTACAATTATCTAACTTATCATAAGCAAATTTCACCAGTACACATTAAATATTAAAAGAGTTGCAGTAATCAATCAATTATCCTCCAATAATTTAATAATTAAATATTTTTGAAGCAAATAACAATTGTAAATTAGAATAGTAAATTACTCTTAAAATAGTTAATTGTTTTTCTTTGTAATCACAAATTGTAATAATGTGTTAGTTGATTAATTGGATTTTTTGTCAGATATTCTTGAGTCTCTTGATTTTACTCTCCAACCATTTTCAAGGAAAATAAAATTACTCAGATTCCAACCTTTGTCCATGGCATTGGTCAGCATTTGGTCAAATTTGCTGTCAACTATTGATCTTGTTGATTTAACAATCGAATCTAATTTTAACTCTTCGTGATCATTAATTGTGATTCCAAGACTTTGAGCTTTCTTTTGATCAGTTAATGCAAATAAAATCAGATTCCCATGAAAATAAGCTTCCATTTTTGTCCTCACAGATTCTTGACCATCAAAGAAAGAAATTAAAACATTGTGTTGACCATTGACTGATAAAATGTAGTTATTGTTGTGGAGATTTTCATTTAAACGATCAAATTGTTCATCACTTAAATCGTGATCACTCAAAGGGAGACCAGATTCAATTCGATCTTGGAATTGATGAGTTGAAAAGAACCAAATATTTTCCAATTGGTTAATCTCATCGACAGAACCAATAGTTTCTTTAAAAATATATTTCTCAATGAACGATGTCCATCTTGAAGGATTAAAAATCTCCATTTTAACTGATCTAACAGCACGATAATTACAATAAATATGAGTAATAGTGAATATTACAAAAAGGATCCAAACTAATCTGTAAGAGATGACGAGAGAAAAAATCATGTTAGAAATGTGATTGGATGTCACTTGCTAATTAACCTACGAATCTGATTCTGCAACCAAAGGCACTAATATTAGGCTTGTTATTAAAGCGACTAAATTGACCAGCGTTTCTTGACTTGAGTCTTTTGCTGAAACATCGGCTAAATTGTTGTTACGAGCTTGGTGTTGGGTTAATGCCGCACGAGTTGCACCACCAATGGTTCCAACCAATGATTTGATCAAACCCGATGAACATTGGAGTAAAAGTAAATAATTTGGAAACATGGGACAAATCATATCTAAACCAATGGCGAAATCATTGCTTATATCAGCGTAGAGACGCCATTTTTTACAATCAACATCTAAATTCGAGCCCTTAAAGTAAGTGAATACGATCCGACCAATCATTCCAGTTCCATCTAGACAAGAGATTGAGAGAAAACAAGAATTAGTAAAATTACACCTAAAGATGATTAAGGATAGAAAAAGATTCCAACCTTTTAATAACCATGTTAACGTGGCACTCGTAACGGTTGCCGATTGATCACCAACACCAATTCCTTTGAGAACATTGTGAGTAGCCAAAGTTCCGGTGATACTTGAACCAAAAGCCTGTAAACTGTCCCAAATTTGGTAAGATAAATAGTCCGAACTAACAGAATCAGGATAACCTCTTGGCAGAAAAACTTCCTACAAAAAGAAGACAAAAAGTAAACAAAAGAAAAACACAGAAAGATATTAATAAGTAAAGGAGTATAAGGAATAAGTGGACAATTAAATGATTTTGACTTACCTTAAACATTTGATAGATGGAAAACCATGAAGAAAATTTAATTCTATCATCTTTATATTGATTATCTTCAACAATCATTGACCATTTAGGCCGATCCTTTGATTTACAGACTGACCGGACTATCCCTTTACCTGAATGTTTCTCTTCAAAAATAACATCCATTTTTCCAATTAAAATAGAATTTAATCACAATCAAACGAATATGGTATCACTAATCACTAAATTAAAGAACAACAACAACAAAATCAACATGAAACTAAACTACAATTAGAATACGAAAACATCTGATTAGTCACATAACCAGTTCTCTTTAAACCAAACAAAGTTAAAGGTAAACAAAGAGGGAAAAAGAGATTTAAACCTAGAAAATAGAATAGAAAAAAAAGAGAACAATTAACTAATCAACTTCTCCATAATATTAACCATCACTTACCTTAATTAAGACTGATTACTATTCCTTTTAAATCCTAATTGTTGAAGAAAACCATCACAAACGAAAGAATCATAATTCCAAGTGACACAACATTTTTTCATATTCTCAATTGATTGAATACACTTTTCTTCATCATAACTGTTAGACTTCAAACACTTCTGAATTAAACAAGCATATTCTTTACACGGATCTTTAGAATTAACCATATTAATCAACAACAAAAAAAACAAAAGAAAACCAATTAACAATTAAGATAAGAAAATTTTTTCTCTCAATTGTGTTAACCTTTTCTACTTCATCAGGGATAAGTGTGTCATTTAGCCTTTTCTCTTTCGGATTGTAAACATTGGATTTGTTTTCTCTTCTTCTCAAATTATCAGGATAATTTGATTCTCCATTTTAATTATTTTTCTTTATTTTTTCGTTAATTAATTTCTTTTACTTTCCTGCTAATTTGTATGTTCCAACTGATTGTTTATACCTGGTGATTTAAAGAGAAATCGTATTAGTCTCAAAATGATTTGGTTTTACATTTTTACTTGTTTATTGTATTTTTTGTCTTTGTTTACATTTTCGTGTTGGTCAATTACTCCTCCAACTGATATGCTTGGCAATTTACCTAATTATAATCCGGTTACCGGTGAAATGGAAGATTTAGATTTTCGAGTTGCCATTGAACCAGGAAAGGTTGAATGTTTTTATCAAGATGCAGCTAAAGATCATAATCTTGACATATCTTATCAGGTTATTGAGTTAAGTCCAAGATTCCAATGGATGTATTCACTTAATACTGTTGCTGATTTGGTGATTGATTTTTTTATGAAAGATCCACAAGGTAGATTGGTTTTTGAGGAAAGAGATAAACAGGAAGGTAATCACATTGAATTGGTACATAATCAGGGTGTTTATACACTTTGTTTTGATAATCGACGATCAGGATCAACTAAATTGGTCAATGTTGAGGTTTATCTTTATTCAAAGGATGATGATGATCGATGGGGATACATTGAGGGTATGATTACTTTCACCCCGGAGGGTCAAGCCATGGATACAATTGAATCTATTAAGGTTATTTAATCACTTTGATTCTTAATTGAACAACACATTAATTGATTAATTTTCTTTTCTCTTTTTAGACTTCAATTAACAAGGTTCGAGATGATCTAATCAAAATTGTCCACAGTCAAGATGAGAGAAGAGCAATTGAGCGTCGTGATCGGGTTCTAGTTGATAACAATTCTAAAACTATTAATCGATTTTCATTTGTCTCTACTTTACTAATGATCGTAGTTGGCCTTGGACAGATTATGGTTATAAGAAGTCTATTCGATGAGAAAAGTCATTTGCGAAAAATTTTCAAACACTTCTAAAGGATGGAAAATCAGTTAACAATTTAATTGAATCTCCATTGGAAAATCTAAACCAAAGTCTTATTTTTGTTTACCATCAGCAGCTAATCTTGAAATATTAATAAGATTTGCCCGATAATCAATCACAATGATGCTCAACAACCAGTCAAACAATCAACAATTTTACTACTACAATTTACTAAACTTTTCTTATGCATTTTAATTGAAAATTGTTGGACAGAGGAAAGAAAAGTTGAAACAATTAGTCAATGAAAAACTTGTCACATTCTCCCAGGGAAATTAACTAATCACAACAATAATTAGAATGATAATCAAAGGAGACCTTTGTTTATCTCTAATTGTGATCTCATTGTAAAATGATCAATTGTAACAATTATCATATAAACACCAACGGTGCCAATAAAGTGCAAATTAATTTGCATTTGTTGATAAAACGACAAACAATTAAATTGATCTTCAATGATTAATTGTTACCTTTTTTACCCAATCCCTAATTAACAATCAATTAACTTTTGATCAACTTGGTGAGCATATGAATATATGGTTAAGGAAATTATCTTGATAACAATTTGTTAAAATCTAGATAATTAAATCAAATCTGATTCCAATTTAATGTAACATCATTTAATCAACAACTTTTAATGGATTTTGATTGTTACTAGAAATCAACTTTAATTTCATATTGTCAACATTTTCATTTAATAATTAGTGACAATTAATTTCCATGCAATCAGCTAATTTAAAAGTAAATTCAATCAATTGATTAACTTAAAGATTAACGAAAACAAAAAAATGTTTCTTTCATTGGGTAAGTCAATCAGTTAATTGTTATCGATTGATTTATATTAATTTAGTTTCTTTTTCCAGCTTTATTAACTGTAATCATTGAGCAAATTGTTTGCCAATCAACTGAATTAGTTGCAATTAATTCTGATGGTAATTCAACAAATGTATCAACCGATCAACAAGACAAAATTATGTCTCTACTTAATGTCAACAATTTACTTCATCTAGGAAATCAATGTAAGTTAATTTTGTTTTTTACGCTAATTGTTGTTGATTGTTGTGTTAATTGTTTCGATAATTTCTAGATGGACCGCTAATTGTATCAGGAATCGGTTTATTGTTTTCGTTAATTTCAATAATTATGGTTAATCAAGTCAAGAATCAAATTCGTAAACTACTAAAAGTATCACAATCGGAAAAACTTGAATTGAAACAATTAAGAAATGGTCACTTATCAACAATTTCCGAAGCTGGTTATGATTTAGATGAATTTGATGATCAAGTTTAATTGTTGATCAATCCAATCATCACAATTAGAAATCATCTTTTAATAAATTAACAACAAAATTGTAAATAATTCAAATTCATTTCTAAAAAATGTTAAATAAAATATCAACGCAATTATAACGTTAATTGGACAATTAATCATTTATTTAACTTTTGAAGATCCTGTTGACTATTAGACTCTGATTGTAATTAATTTTCCTATCCTTTTTTGGTTGTTTTGATAAGTAATCAATTAATTGTTATATAAGGTTAACAATTAAAACTAGGAATCAAATGAGTAAAAAAAAAGTGAATTCAAAAAAATGATTACCAGTCAACGAGTTAATTATTAATCAATTGATTAACTCAACTGAACGCCTACCGATGGATAATTAACTTAATCACTCTGTTAATTTTTCAGTGAATAATGTGAAAATCTAATTGCAATTAATTTAATTGCTACAATGAAAAAATCATTCCAACAATTAATCTTATTGCTTACTCTTCATCTCGTTTCAATCATCAAAGGTAAGAGACAATTGATCAATAAATCAGTCAACATATTCCCACTAATTACAACAATTAAAAAAGTTTCAATCTAATTTTTAATCATTTAAATCAATTCTCAGGACAAACAATTAATCAAAATGCCACATCAAGTGATAGTTCATCATTTGCAAACAGTTCAACCTTTCCAACGGATCAGATTAACGATTCAACTGATTTACCTGATAAAACAAATTGGATTAAATTGTTTCAATTGTTAACATCACAATTAACATATGATTTAATTGTTTATATTTGTCTAAAGATCAACAATGGTAAGCCAATCAAAAGAAAAGAAAACTAATCAACCAGTCTAAAGATTCATATTGATTGTCGATCGTTTTAATTACAGGATTTGTTACATTACCTTTAGCAATCGGATTTACTGGATTAACGATCGGATTAATTGCTTTAATTGTTGCTTTTCATGCTAATTGGAAAGTAGCTAAATATGAATTTAAATCAGCTGAAAGACGACGAAGAGAACGAGAGATTGAAGAAGTTCATTTAAAGATCTACGAACAAGTAATTTACGGAGATCGATACGAACTTAATTGTTCTGGACGATCAATTGATAAACTAATTCGCAATTAAATTAATCCAAATTCTACAGGATAGATTAATGATTATCTTCACCATTGAATCAATACAATCATTTCTTTCGTAATTTGCTAAAAATAGAAGTCAAAACAAAACAAAATTCATTGTTTACCTTTTCCTCTCTTGATTCTCGTTAATTGTAATCATAATTGCGATAATTGTTAGTTATTAATTTTCTGCTTTATTTACACAAAAAAGAGATATATTTTTTTCCTTCTTGTAATATTATTATTATTTATATAATATATTTATAATCAAAAAGATGAAGCACAAAATAACTTCGTGTACCGTTTGTTGTTTGCTGTTGTATTGATTGTTGAGATGATGATGATAATTGTTTTTCTGATGACAGTGTGATGATGATGATTATGATGATGATGATAAATATCTGTTAGTTGTTTTCCTCATCATTTATCCCTTTGATCTTTTTTAGTCTTCTTCAAACTGTAATTTCCTTCATTAGATTTGTTTACTGTAATTCACACCAGAAATTTAGTAGATTAGTTAGATGTTTACAGTTATTTTCTGCTCCCTTTATCCCTCTCTTTTTGATTTCCTTTTCTTTCTCTCTCCCTACCTCTCTCTCTCCCTTTCTCTGTCTCTTTCTCCTTGTAATATTATCATGTATTCCAAAGGTATTATCAAAGATTCTAATGATTATTATATAATAATAATGTAAATTATTCAGATTATAATTATTGTTGAGAATGGGAGAAGAAAAAAAAATTATTTCTTTCACGCTTCTCGTCCGGTACTTGTTTGTGTGTCACTAATTTGCTGGTTAGTTGAGTTGATTTTATAAATCGGCAAAAAAATCAGATGATATTAAATTGTTTCCTTTTCTCCTTCTGAATAACATTTACAGTCTCAATTGTCACCACCAATCATATGAATCAAGCGATACTTGAAGATGGTTGATCCAGAGATGAGGTATTATTATTATTATTACTGCTACTGGTTGATGCAGTGGTTGAGGTTGTGGTAGAATTGTTTTCCTTATCCTTTGAAAATTTGATTCCACTGCTTCCAGCGATTCCACTAATTGTACTTGAAGTTGAACAATTACCGTTATTTGTATTGTTACTCAGGTTATTTACATTCCTTTTCAATGAGTCTAAATATTCTTGCTGTGATTGAGCCAATACTCGGGCAATGATATCCTGTTCTTCAGTTGTATCCCAATCAGAAATTCCTATAAATCATCAGAGAGAAAGAGAATTAGAAAGAGAGAGAGAGAGAACATGGAGAAATGGAGAAAAAGATAAAGAAAAAAAAAGAATATTGATTAATGATTGAAGAATTTTAGAAGATGGAATTTACTAACCAAATAATTGAGGAGGAAATTGATTGACAAAAGACGCAGTTTCCACAAGACCAAAGTCTTTAGGTGTACGAGAATCGTTGTTATTAAGTCCACTTGAACTCGCTTTTGGACTTGACCGTGAAGGACTTGATGAGATCTGTTGTTGATTACTTGTTGCGGTTGCGGTTGCGGTTAATTTTGATTTCTTCTTCATTGCTCTTTTCTCATTTTCCCTTAGCCATTCAACATAAGATTCACGTGCAACTTGCTCTTCAATTGCTTCATTGGTCGCCTCCCAATCGGTTGCTCTCAATTTATCTTCTAACATTGCTTTCTCCAATTCATGTTCTTCAGAAATTCGTATAGCATTATCGACCAAATTTTTATCCGCTATCCCAGGTTTGTATGCAGGTAAACCAAGGCCAACACCAACGGTTGGTTTAAAGGGATTAACAACCGAATTGTAGTGGATATTTTGATGGTAACTCAAACGGATTGGATCATTTTCTGTCTGATGACAACCTTGAAATATGTTGATTGGAGTTGTATTGTAATGGTAAACCTCAATGGGCCTGTTGTACATCTCAGACAAAGCTTGAATCTCTACATGATTACCGTGGGCATGATCCATTGATTTACGTTGTATGTAGGCCTTAAAATCTTCCGTAATATATTGTGAAAAGTAATCAACATTCTTTGCCATATAATCCATACACAATTTTCGTACCGCTGTGTGCATATCTTGATCACCATAGACCTGATCAGCTACTGCTCGAAATAAACAGGCACCATCTTCACCCATTTTCTTTATGATGAAACCTTTTTTCCTCATCTTTTTCTCAAATCTTCTTTCCATCTCTTCTAATTGTTCAGCTGTCCAATTAGCTGCTTTATCATATTCATCACCTGAATTGTAGCCTTGAACTGATGGATCAGATTCAACATCAATAGGTTCAGAAAGGGAAGATTGTTGAACAGGTCCATTAACTGAATCTACAACGGAACCAGAAAGGTCAACAGAAGGACCAACGGAACTTGATGAATTACCTCTAACACCATTCATATTTTCAGAAGAATCACCGGAACAGTCTCGTTTAACTCCATTTTTGATACTTGTTTTAGGACTTTTAAGAGGTGCCGTTGATGAACAGCAAACAGATTTATTATTACGACAACAAGAATAACCAACACCACATCCATATCTGGTCATATCTCGTCCTCTTCTTTTAGAACCATGAGCTGGATGAGAAGAATGGGCAACTCCTATCAATGGAGATGAATGAGAACTTGCTGAACTCTGGGGAGATAAATGAACATCACCAACGTCTGAAGGTGTTCGTAGATTACCATCTGAAACAGATTCTACTTGATTTCCGGAGGAACCAGGTGATCCTGGAAATCTATCATTGGAACGAGACCATCTTGGTGGGGAAGAGTGATGATGTAAACCAGGAGCTATATGAGGATGGCCCATATTACCAGGTAAATGATCCTTTTCCAGATTGGCTTCACCATTATTACCAGTTTTACAATCACCTCGTCTCTCCTTTTTACTTGAAAGAATAGTCATTTCTAGAAAAAGTAAATGAGACAATAATGATTGAATATAATTCCAAGTGAGAGAGAGAGAGAGAGAGAGAGAAAGAGAAAGAACAACTAAATTAAATCGTCTTCCAAGCAAATATCCTTGGTATTATTTTTCTCTTCAAGTTTGAGGCTTAAAAGACAAACAAACACACAGTCAAATTAATCCAAACAGAACAAAACAAAAAAGAGTTTGAATAGAACAATTTTCAACAATGTCCAACAGCAAATTGGGATAAAACACTGAAGATGATGAAGGAAAAGATTAATTATTTATATATAAAACAAAACACCAAGAGAAAAGTGATTACTTTTTTTTCTGCAAATCACCAAAAAAAAAGCAATGTATGAGTAGTAGAGTTACTTGATTCGAGGCCAAGCTCTAAAAAATTATTACACAATTTATACTTTTGGTTGTATTTTGTACAAGATGATCTACTCCCAATTAGCAGAATTGTTAATAAACAAGGGTATTAACAAGAAAGGATATTGAAAGGACAATTTAAAGATTAAAATTAATCCTTAAAAAGTAGAGGGTGAGGAGATTGTGACTTGTGTGAAATTAAACACAAGAAAAAAAAATAAACATCAAAACCAAAAGATAGAAAAAAATTAGAAAGAAAACCTAAAGAAAATCTAATCCACTAGATGGCGACACTTTCGAAAAAGCTTATTAATCAAATTTTGAAAAGTTCGTGAAAATAAACAAAATGAACGAACCTTTTCATTGGAATCGACGATATTCAAAGATGATGTGATTTTATTATGCTATTAATTATCTTGAATTGTGTTTTGATTTGAAGAGATGGAAGGAGAGGGATCAGGAAATTGTGGTAAATAATATTGTTGATGTTTTGATATTTTCTCAGTGTCCGAGTACATGAGGAAGTAACTGATATTATTTTGAACACATTTCGAAATGTCCAGTAATTAGAAATATTTTATCTATCATAGGGGTGAATTTTTAATTCTGATTAGTTTTAAATCAATAGTGGTTAGTTCATTTATTCAATGGTATCAATTAAAGTCTTGTAGGAGGACAATTGGTTTTATAAAAGTCAATCAGAGGGAATAACATTTGAAACAATCAAAATTGTTTTTTTTCAATCAGTTTGTAGATTTCTATTTAATTTGGTGGCTTGATGACCTTCAGTTATGATAGTTAAGGAGGGTTTTCGTGCTTTTTGTTGAAATTTATCGAAAATACGTAAAAAAATATGCGAGGATTCAATTTAGAGAACTTACTTGTTGCATTAATAGTTGAGAATACATGTATTATTATTTATTGGAGATTAACTCAATTAGTCTATGAAGATAATTGATAAATATCTCTGTCATTTAGAAATCAGGAGCTGTGGCTAATGAAGTTTCTTCCGCATTCTCGATTCACTTATATCGATGGCTCTGAATGAACAGGTAAGAAAAATGAGAGTTTTGAAGAATCAAAATTTATTCGGATGATGTTTATCCAAATTTCATAAAGAAATTGAAAATATCAGAATAATCAAAAGACACTGATAAACGAATTGCCAATCGGTTCAATCTCAGCGAAATATGATAATATTATTATTCTATTTTATTCTAATAGAACAGCAGAGAATCAGAGTTTAAAGTCCAAGGTTAACCAAGAACTCGGAATCGTATATCGACATGGAAGAGTATAATGAAAAGAACTCTGGTAAATGGATTGGTTAACGAAAAATTAATCAACCGTTTGATTAAGAGAAATTTAAACACAATGAAAGTTAATTACTGTAATCGAAAAGATAATCACCGATATTCTTGTACGAATCGAATATCGGAATCGTCAGTTCTGAACGGAACGGAACGTGAACGAAAAATTGACCTCAGACCACAGACGAAACGTCGATAGCATATTATTATCATTTCTTTTTCCTTTTGTGTCGTTTATAATGAATCCAAATTCGGTCTGACCTTGAACAAACTGATAATAATTCGAGCTTCGAATTAACTTTAATTTAACTTACCAGATGATTAACTAATCCAAACCAATAACAATAGTAAAAATTTTCTATCAAAAAGTTAAGTTTAATTGGATCAGAAAAGGAAGAAAAAACCTAACCTATTAATTAGAATTGTAATTGTTTCTCTATTCTTAATCATCATTAGTGTAATTACAAATAGAGATTATCATCAATTAGGTCATTTGGTGTTTTCTAAAATCCATTGTAATTTTCTGACCGATTTTATATTAATTGAATATAAATTTTTGTCTAATTGTTGAATTTTAATTTTATTTTCACAATGATTTAAATTCCTCAATGAAAATATTACAAAAAAGAGTAAAAAATTTACACGAAGAGAGAGAAAGAGAGAAAATTAGAATCAACTAATTAAATTATTTACAAATAGAGAAGAGAGTGAGAGAGTCCAAGTAGTTTCTATTACGATAATCAATATTTTTTGTTCATTTATTATCATTTAATAGATTACTCAATATTAATTAATTAAATATACATTGTATTCATTAGCAAGTTTCTTTTTTTGAAAATGTAGATTTAGGGATTTCTCTATTGTTGTTGTTGTTGATGATGGTGTGTGTGTGTGTATGTGTTGTGTTGTGTTATTTTTTTGCTGGTTTTTTAATGTTGGTTGATGTTGATATTTTTTTTTGATTTTTGGTATTTTCTTTGATGAAGTTTAATTCCCAGTTAATCAATGAATTTTTCTTTCTTTAATTTAATTTCACGATCTAGAAATGAAGATGATGATGTAGACTCGTTAGGACTTGTTTTCCTTTTACGGGTTGAAGATGATGGCATATTTAAATTATCATTTCTGGTCATGGTGTTATTACTTGAATTTCCACCTCCACCATTACCTCCGAGTCTATCTTTTGGTATCACAATCCTTAAACTAGAAGGTGTCTCACTATTTAAATCACTTTCACTTCCACTGTAATTTATTTTTTGTTTGGAAATTTTTAGTTTAATTGGTGATGGTCTTTCTATTTCTTCCTCACTTTTATCCTCTTTAGGCACTGTTAAAGTTAATTTAAAGTCTTTATCACGATGATTAACTTCTTCATGATCATTACGATGACGATCTCGATCTCGATCTCGCTCCTTATCCTTATGCTTATGTTTACTCTTGTGTTTTTCTTTATGATGTTTTTTATGCCCATGACTGTGATGATGATGTTTAGATGAGCTACTTTGATGATGACGATGATGTCGATGGTGATGTTTATCTTTTGATTTTAATTTATCATCCAGATCATCTTCAACCTCTTCGCCTGTTTGATCTTGATCAAATTCGTTAACTGAGTCTAAAAGCTTTTCACCAGGTCCTTCAAATTCACCTTTAATAATACCTATATCTTTATCTTCATTTATACTCATCTCGGATTGTTGATCAAAAGGATTAACTTGTTGTTGTTGTTGTTGGTGATGTAACTGGGATTGTATTTGCGGTAATTGTGGCGGATGAGGGATTAATTGTTGAAATTGAAGTTGTTGTTGTTGTTGTTGTTGTTGTTGTTGTGTTTGGTATGGATGAAAATAATGTGGTGGTTGTGGTTGTGGTTGTGTTTGTAAATGAGGAATTTGTTGCAATTGTTGTTGGTGTAACTGTTGATGTTGCAACATTTGGTGTTGATGAATGTCTAATTGTTGTTGTTGGTGGTGGTGTAACATTTGTTGTTGAGGTTCTTGAGATCGATCTTGTTTCATAGGTCTATCAAATCGTTCTTGGTTTGCTTGAGGTATTAATCGAGGCATTCGAGGAATTTCATTTGAATTAGCTGCAAAATCTTTAAAATTATCTGTAATAGGGGTATTGATAATAGGCTGATGAGGTGGTGGTTGGAGATGTTGAAGTGGTGGCAATTGCGAGTAAATCCTATCAAAAGGATCATTTCTATCTTGTTTAATAGTTTTATCAACACGTTCTGGTTTATCGTGACGATTATCATGATGATCTGGGCCTTCAATCCTTTCCCTTCTTTCTCTATAGTCATGATGATCTACTTTATTTACTCGTTCATGATGACCAATTCTTTCTCTCTCGGGACGATCCAGCCTTTCGACCTTTTCCAATTTTGTATTCCTATCCAAAGATGGTCTATCCTTTGATTTATTATTAATGAGTTCAGTTTGTGGTTGGGGTAAAATTTTTTCTTTCTCTCGTTTATCCTTATAAGCAGAAAAAGTTGTATGACCAGATTGAGAACTATGGCCGGCAGCATTGGAGCTTTTTTGTAAATTTGTTGGATAATCGACTCTTTTTCTTGTATCAGCTGGTGAGGGTGACCTCTTTTCTTTCTTCACATTGGCATTTGATTGATTAACATTTAAATTCATTGATACATCACCAAGAAATTTGGCTTGAGAAGAGTGATTATTTGATACTGATGCTACTGGTTTAGGTCGATTAACTTCATTTTTTATTGGAGATATTTTATCCTCCTATAAGATAAAAAGAGATCAATAGAAATAAGCGAAAAACGTTAAATAAATATTTAAATTTGCAACAAGTGAACGAGAGAAATAAAAACCAAAAGCTAAACAAACCTTAAATGCTGGTCTAGGTCTAGTTTCATTAGTAAAACTGGAATTTCCTTGGAAATGAGGATTATAGTTGATTGAATTATTAGCTACGTTTTGACCAGAGGAACTGTGAGAATTAGGTTGAGGTTTATTAGGAAAAGGTGGAAGAATCTCCTTTTTGTTTTTTCTTGTAACCGGTGAAGGCGACCTTTTATCAAATTCACTAGAGCTAATGGACGGAATTGAAGACGACATCTCACTGCTTTGTCTTGATGTGGATAACTGACCAGAATGAGACGACGATGATGATAATGATGGCGGATGAGGTAAAGGTGGTTTAGATTTAGTATCACTTTTCAATAGTGAAAGCTTTTTCTCATCCTGTAAAAGAGCAGATAAATAATAAATTAGGTTAAACAATGATCATCATCGTTATCAAAGATTTGGTTAAAGTTTAATTATTATTATTTACCTTAATTGACTGAGAACGTTGTCTACTATCTGTGGTTGTATTATGAGCATTCAAATTTGATGAATTGTGTACATTAGTTAATTGACCAGATACTTGAGATAAGTGCGTCGTGGAATGCGTTCTAACTGTTTCATCTTTGAATTTTTTAGTTGGTGAAGGTGGAGATTGCTTCTTGGTCATACTGGGCACTGGAATTGTTGGTGTGGAGGTTGATGTTGATGTAGATGGTTCATCTGCTTTAGATGTTGATGGTTGATTATAACCAGATGAGGACGATGATGATGATGGTAATTGTTTTGATTTCGTTTCATTTTTAACAGATGAACCTTTTCTATCCTTCTAAGATGGTGATGGATAAGAAAATAAAAGAGAAAAGAAAGCAAAACAAAAAATTATAAACATATAGATAATAAGACAAGAGTTGAATGACATTTTATGAGCAATTCATGCATTCACAAAGATTTACAATTGGATTAGAGTGAAAAATATAAAGGTAAATTTTACCTTTGGAGTTGAATGTGCATTCGCGTCGTTAGTTGAATTCCCTTGTTTTTTGGCACTGGCGAGAATTTTACTTTTTAAACGAGATGGACATTTATCCAAAATTGCTAAAAATTCTGATGTTAATTCTTCTAAAATTTCAGAAGTAACCGAATTATCAACATAATAAAACCAGTCTTTTCCTTCTGATGACTGCGGCAACTGTTGAAAAAGAGTAAAATAAAATGAGAAGATTAAATTAGAAATTTTCTGTTCCTCGAATGGCCAAAGTGACTCGAATGGTTTGGTTTAAGTTTCGTTTTTGACACCAATGACGGATTATTAAGTTAACCTACCTCCCAATTTGACCATTTGCATGCTAAATGTATACATACACAGGCCACTAATGTCGGGCGATATTGTAGGCACATTGTCGTCAAATGTAGACTGTTGGTTGCCATGAAATATGATGTTTGAGCGAGGTCTTTGTGCGCTGCAAATACATCTGAGCATTAGAAGATATTGATATACAATCTTACTAAATCAATTTTCACAATAAAATTACAAGTTACCTTTAACTAGCTGGCAACATTTAATTATAAAGGTATGAGGATGCTCTATGCCTATGTCAAAACCAAGTGTTTGCAGCATGATATTTTCATTGACCACCAACTCTTGAGCTTGTTCTAGGTAATACTGATGGTTTTTGGTTGAAGAAGAAAAAATGAAACCATAAATTAGAAATGGTAAACAAATGGGAGAAAGGAAACAATATCACTAGGATGTGTGTGTGAGAGAGACAGAGAGATGTTTTCATATATACAAAAATTGTATCGATGAACTCACATCACTCTTTGGGTCTAATGGTGGTTGGTTAGGATTTAGAAGAGTATGAGCAACTTTGATAACATATTCTAATTTTCGAGGTTGTTCTTCCACTTTGGCAGCAAGGAATAAAGCACAAGCTGCTATTGCCTGGAGAAAAAAAGAGAAAAGAAAAAAATATGAGTTAGATCAAGCCAATTCAATTATTTGCTGGCTTAAGCCTCAAATGTGTGTATGTTTGTGTTTATGTAGTGTGTGTCTTTTAGCTGGTGCAAGAATGTGTATGTTGAATATAGCTGTTTGGAAAGTAGAAATAGAGAGAGAGAGAGAGAGAAAAAAAAAAGAAAGAGAAAAAGAAAGAGAAAGATAGAAAACTATCATCTGCTTGGTATTTTTCCAACAGCATCTCTCTATATCCACTTCCATTTTTACCGACAAATATCACAATCATTGTTGATTTAATCCGCTATTTAGATGGTCAAAGATGATCACTACACTTAGAGTAAATACTCACATTTCGGTGGAATCTCTGAAAAGAGTGGAAAATGTAAAACCGATGCATGTACACGATAGCAGTATTTATACACAATTGGTCCCTATAGAAAAATGGATGAACCAGAAAGAAAAAAAAATGGAAGAAAAATATATGAGAACATTTTCGTTTTACAAACACACAAATCTATCAATAAGAAGATAATTTTGAGAATGTAATTAAATGCACGATTACATCTCATAGGTTAACAGGTAATGTAACACAATTAAAATAAACATTGAAAAAAATTAAATTCACAATTAATCATATCACAATTTAATGTGTGTTACCAAAAACGGTTGAAACACTTACACTTTGAGAAGTCTTCCCATGTCTTGGATTAAATTGGCTGCTTGTTGTCGGTAAGACATTTCTTTGTCATAATCGATTCCACATTTTCTCGATGGAGTATTAATTAAAGATTCTTTACTAAAATACCAGCGGGATTGATTATTGCTCATAATGATTTAATTTTTTTAATTAAATCAACAACACACAAAAAACCATCAACTTGAATTCACCAAAATCACCAACAAAAATGAAAGACAAAAAATGTGGCTCCATCTGTCGGTCAACAGAAAAAGAGAAAAAATTTCGAGCGGGAAACTCATTGGGATGAAAATTCCATCTGATTGAAGAAAAAAAAATGAAGGTTAACCAGATGAACAATTAACTATTTATTTACGAAGTGTTTTTATTTTTATTTTTATTTTTTTATAATTTAATTACTCTTGGAATGGACAATTAACTGACCTTGGAAAATGAAGAGAATAATAAATCACCGGATAGATTAAAGGTAAGAATAAATTGACCGATTAGAAAACTAATCTTGTTTTTATTTTCTTTTTTTCTTTTCTGTTATTAACATTGACCTTTTATTTTCTTTCTGTTTTAATTGTGATTGGAATCATTTTATGTTATTTTTTTTCTTCTCTGCTAATTTTAATTAATTCTTTCGTTTAATTGTTACATAATGGATTCTCTAGATGTTTTCTTTCGTTTGGGTTATATGGTTTAATTGTCACAAAATTTACATGTCGCTTTAGTTTGGATTTGTCCTTGGATCAGTTTTCCTTTTTGGAACAAAAAAAAAGGTAATTGTCCAAGTGAATCGTGTTGATTGTTAATCAGTTGATTATTTTGGATTAGCTGAGATTTAATATCTTGGTGTTGATTTAATGATTACTATTATTTTCTTGTCACGATTATCAACCAAATCAACCCAAAGAGATGGAAGCACTTGTGCCTGTTGCTATTATCATTTTCTCTCTCTCCTTTCTATGTTTTTATTATATGAAGAGAGAGAAAAAATTCTTTTTTGAAAGAGAAAAAGAGAGAACAAGTTCAATCAAGTTATCTCGAATAATCTTCTCTCATTTTCTCCCGTTTGTGGTTTTGAGAGAGAAGAGAAAAAAATTAACCAGGATTTTTCTTCTCTCTGTAAATGAAGTTACATTTTTCTCTGTGATTCTCTTTGTTTTGGTGCCTCTTTAATTTTATTCTCTTTTAACAATTTTTTCTTTTTTTCCAGATAGAAAAAAAAAGAATATTTTAACTGGTTATTTTCTCCATGCAATCGTTGATCATATGAAACAAAAAGTACACATGTATAATCTCCTATGAATCTGCCACCTTTAAAGGAGAGATAATCCCTCTGGAGATCAACATCATTCACCATAACCATAAAAGTCTATCATCATCGTAATCAACACTAATTGTAACCACTAGCCTATTCCACCATAAGATTAAGGCAATTTTGGCAAAAAAAGAGGAACAAACAAACTTCGGATTAAACATATTCTTAACCTGTTGACTGTTCTTGTGTGTATTGTGATAAATAAGCTCCCCTGACCATGGATACTTTTCGTGAAGGGCTTAATACACCTCCAATGACGATAACATTTCATGATTATTTTGATGATTCACTTGATGGTCATCAGTTTGACATGTTACAAGCAACACCAACGACCATTACAAACATAGATACAAATGGACTAATCGTCGATCCCGGTGGACATAACAATATAAACAATCATCTAAATTATGGTAACATAAATAATATTCATCTATTATCAACCTCTTCCTCTCTAACACCAACAACATCATCAACAGCAGCAGCAACAACAACAACAACACTACCAGGTGATGAAAATCATTCTTCCAGTTTAACATCAAATTTAGATTGTTTAACTAGCCGATATAATTTACATCAAATTGATTCTTCCACTGGTCTAAATGGATCTAATTCATTGAACAATCATAATCTTCTCGGTCAACAATCAACTGATTTCCTTATTGACCAAGAAAATTCAGGGTTAGTATCATAATAATAATTAAAATCAATCATTGATTAACATGATTAATTTTAATTGGTTAAGATTAAGACACACAGATAGAGAGAGAGAGCACAAAAAAGCTGACGAAAAGATAGTTAAAGATGAAACGATTGAGATATAAAAGAAACAATCAATTTTTGAGTTAATCATAATTTTGTTATCGTCTCATACTAATCATATTATTATAATCATCGACATTATCGTTAATTGTAAACATACACACTCACACCAATAGAGGAAGAGAAAGAGAGTAGAAACTTAATTTAGCTTCGAATTTTTTTTTTCTGTTTCTCATCTTCGCAGTAAATTGTTATTTTTAGAACTATTTTTTTTTCTTTTGGAAGACATATGCATTTTCTCATTTAATCATCATCTTAATCCTCCCCACTCCCTCTACTACTTGTATTAATACTCATTACATGGCACAGTTTCACCTAATTAATCCTTATTTTGAAAGAAGAAAACAAAATTGGGACTAACCCAATATCGAACCTTCAATGGTTGATGATGTTATTCAAACGTAATGTTTTTCTTGTCGATGATGAAAAGCAATTTTGTCAAATGTTAAAACAATCTTCATTGACTCACTTGAAACAATTGACCATAAATTGTCAAATTGTTAATCAAGTAACAAGTGATGAAGATGATGCTGTTAATTATTTGAGAAAGAAAAAGAAAATCCATTCCTAAGACAAATATTTAGATTCAGTTGAAAATTAGTTGTTACAATTATCTATCCCCAGGAAAATCATGTAAAGTAATAAGAAGAGAGTAACTAATTATATCTAAGATATTTTCGTATCTAAATATATTCTATGATGATGTTAATCTAAGGAAGAAAAAGATGATGATGATAGAGAAGGAAGGAGAAGAAGAAAAATAGAAAATAATATGTAACAATTATTTAGATCATTGAGAGAGAGAGAGAGTTAGGGGCGAGGTTGAATCAATTTTCTTCTCTCAGATAATTTTGATTATTCTAATTTCTTCCATGTAAGAAATTAGACTGAAAATCGACGATTAATCAATCTACTAATCAAAATTATTCTCATTCTTTCGACAACAAAATCACAGAATAATAAATAGAAACAATTGAAGGTCAACGATGAAAATCCGATCAATTTGCTAAGAAATAATTTATATATCATATGATAACAATTTATGAGAATTTATTTGATAACTAATTTCAATTTCTTTTTTTATTTCTTCTTTCAGGTATGTTCACCATAGTATCACCGAGGATCAGATTACTATGCACGTTCATCCAGGAAACTCACCAATGCCTCGAAATCCATCTCATGCCATGTTAACAATAGAGACACGTAATGAGAATACAAAAAGAAAAGAGTACAAAGTATTTCGTTGTGAATTCAATGGTTGCCGACGAACCTATTCCACCGCGGGTAACCTTAAAACCCACCATAAAACTCACACAGGTGAATTAACCTTCGTCTGTAATCAGGAGAGTTGTGGTAAAGCATTTTTAACATCATACAGTTTACGAATTCACACTCGAGTTCATACAAAGGAGAAACCCTTTGAATGTGAAATCAATGGATGTGAGAAAGCGTTTAATACACTTTACCGTTTAAAAGCACATAAACGTTTACACACTGGTAATACTTTTAATTGTTCGAGTGATGGTTGTGGCAAATTTTTCACCACTCTAAGTGATTTAAGGAAACACTGGAGGACCCATACGGGAGAAAGACCTTACAAATGTAATCAACAGGGTTGTGGTAAATCATTTTCCGCTTCTCATCACCTTAAAACCCATATTCGTACACACACCGGCGAGAAACCCTATTCATGTGATCAAGATGGATGCCGAAAATCATTCACAACCCAATATAGTTTAAAAAGTCATCTTACTCGTCATCAATTAAAAAAGTCAAACCATGGTAATCATAAGAGTAACAATCTCAATGACAACAACAACAACAATAATAATAATAGTTTAAAACGTAAACATGAATCAGCATCATCAATGGTTAATCACCTTAATCAACAAACGGCTACTGTATTATCATCATCATTATCTTCATCATCACCTTTATCATCAACTACAAATCCTGCCTCTTGTTCACCTTTATCATGTTCATCTAATTCATCTAATATTCAGTGTATTAGATCATCAACAATTAATAATAATAATATTGACAATTTAACGTCTTCCTCATCATCTTTACCTGTTGTCAATATGTCCGGTGTTGGATTAACTTCTCAATCAAATAGTCATTTATTAACTAATCATGGAGTCATCGTGAATACTAAACTACTGAATAATGTTAATAATAATGATAATAATAACGATAGCACAATTAATAACAATAATAATCATACAATAATCAATAGTGACAATGACAATTGCACAAATTGTAATAGCAATAATAATGGATTGTCCATAGCCAATGTTAATACCTTGAATGTTTCGGTTGAAGATCAAACAACATCAACGATTCTCAATGGTACTGATTGTAATACCTCCGGTTTAATTGATAATGTACCAATGGATGGACTTAATTCTGTTGATGTTCAAATGTTTGCCTCTCATTCAATAAACGCAATTCAATTAATACCTCAAACCACAGATAATTCAACAGGTAAACAACAATTTTACAAAATTTCATCATTCTTTCATATTGATAATAATCGTCTAATCCTCTCCTTTTTTTCAATCGTTTATTTGATTGTCTGATAATCGTTTTGTTAACAGGTTACACATTTTTACCAATTACAACGGAGACTCCGACAAATCAATATTTACCTGTGGAAATGTCAACAATAATAAATATCTCACCTGCACAAAATTATGTTACATCAACGGCAACATCAACAAATCATGATGTAAACGCTAATAATACAAATATTATCAATAATGATCATCATAATGTTCATACGGACAACAGGGTAAACAATAACAATGACAATTGTCATATTGATGGTGATCCATTTGGCTTAAATTCAACAAAAGAGATTAAGTTTTCAAAGGATGAAAATTTCACTCCGATTCATGGCTGTTGTGATCCACAAAATATCATCTTCGGCGCGGCCGCTCAGGCCGATATTTGTAAATGTGATCCAAATCTGTGTCGCAAAAATGGAACCTGTTGTCCTGGTTGTCCTGGTGAAGAAACAAATATTTGTGAAACTCATTCAAATACCAACAATTTACTTACAATTACTGAATCAGAAGCCGCAATTACAATTCCAAATGAAACAATTTCATCATCATCATCATGTTCATCCTTAACTTCATCATCAACAACAACAACAAAATCATCTGATCCCACTAGCGGTTCAAATTTACTAATTAATTATCCATCTGAAAGTCTAGAGCATTCATGTTGTGCTTAGTAATCCAATTAATCTAATCAAGTTAATGATCTAATCAACAGTTACATATATTATTATTATAATATGTTGATAGGAAAAAGATACACACTTAATTTAATTTTGTTTTCCTTGATTGTTTTGTTTTGTGTTTTTTTTTCAAATTTTATTTCAAATTGTAATCATCAAAATTGAAACTCGAATGGTTTATTGTTAAGTTTATCTCATAACAAATTAGCAATTAACTTTTTAATCTGTTAAAATCTATTTGATAATATGGAGAAAATGATTTTTTTTTCTATTTTTGTTTTGCTTTTCGTGCGATTTTTGTTCAGGTCACTTTCTCATCTTGTAAACAATCAATCGTCTTCATCGTCGTTGTAACTTTTTTTCAATCGACTGTCAAAATCTGGTCCAATGCAATCATCGCTTAATCATGTGCACTTTAATCACAATTAACTACAATCATCAATGTCCAGCTTTGTTCAGCTACGCTCAAAAACCTTGCCTTACAATTTACGATTAATCAACTAATTGGTTAATCAATTATGTTACATATACAAATATATAATTATGGATATAAAAAACAAATTCAACCCAATTTAAATTGTTGAAGACAAAAAACAAAGAAATAATTAAACTAATCGATTAGTAATATAATACAAAATCTAATTATCAAATCAATTGACAATTAACTTTGATTTCCTTTGATAACCTTACCTTGGATTTCAATTTAATTTGCCCAATGATTTTAATGGTTAATTGAAATGATTTTGTTTATCAAAATTAATTTAATCATCATCATCATCTCACCCAATCAATTTTGTTTGATCATTTTAATTTCACTTGTCATCATTATCATTGTTAGTTTATTAGTAGTAATAGTTGTAGTTAATTGTAATTACAATTTGTCCTTTTCATTGCTGCTCAATATAAAATAAAAACTAAATCAACAGACCAACAATTAACTAATTTCTTGTATCTCTCTCTCTCACACACTGTAACTAAAATGATTCAACGTGTTGTTAATTGTTGGTAATGATCAAGGTTAATCAAGGATTTTGATTATCATGACCATCATCAGAGTTGTATTATTAAATCAATTATTAACTACCAAGGCTTGAGTCAAATTAGCCCAATTAAAGTGCATCTAATGAAGATCAAGGAGTTAATTACAATAATTAGAAACGTAATTAAAAAAAACGTTTGTTATTAATTGTTTGTTTTTATTTCGATTACCATTTGATTGTAGATTAGATTAAGGATGAGGACCAAAAGAATAGGGAAAATGCCCTCGAAATAAAAAATTGTTAAACCAATTTTTTCTGGTGCTTAGTGCTATGGTGATTCTGAATTTTTACTTTTTATTTCTCAAAAAATGATATTTTTTGTAATATCGTCGAAAACCGTGTTTTTTACCGAAATATTGTAGGCCACTTACCTATTCGCGAACACGGAAAGAAGTGCATTTCCCCACTCAGTTTTTGATGGTCTACAATATGGTGAAGTTCATTTTTCTCTAATGATTGACTAAGATAGTTTTTTTTCGCAGGCCATTTTTACGGAACGGAAATAGTCAAAAACTGAGTAGGAAAAATGAGTTTCTATTCGTGTTCACGAATATCTTGTAGGACTATTTCCGTTCCGTAAAAATGGCCTGCGAAAAAAACTATCTTAGTCAATCATTAGAGAAAAATGAACTTCATCATATTGTAGAGCATCAAAAACTGAGTGGGGAAAATGTACTTCTTGCCGTGTTCGCGAATAGGTAAGTGGCCTACAATATTTCGGTAAAAAACACGGTTTTCGACGATATTACAAAAAATATCATTTTTGAGAAATAAAAAGTAAAAATTCAGAATCACCATAACGCTTAGCATCAAAATAGTTAGGTTTTAAGCAGTTTGATTTTGCAGGCCTTTTTGGTACTCGTCCTTAGTCTGATCGGTTAAATAATAACCATTTGAATGATTAACCATTTTTCATTTTAATTATTTAACAAAAAAAGTTAATTTACAAGAAATTTATGAGATTAAATCATTGTAATTAAATTGATAACTAACCACCTGTTATCTTTACAATTGAATATTCAATTAGAGATCATAATTGTTTTGCTTTTTCAATATCATCTTAAGATGATTGATTTAATATTGTTGATAATTGCTCGATGGTCATGATTAGCTCGCTAATTGTGTGTCGAAGTCAAAGTTCATCTTTGAAAGATAATTGATCTGGATAAAGAAGATCGTTGGCGAAAAATTGTGTTGTTCGATTGAAACGGAATGACTGAAGGCGAATTCGTGAAGCAAATGCCGAAAATGATGAGATACAATTACCAATGAAATAATTGGAATAAGCTAATAGGTAAGTGTCGATAATGTAATGAGGTGGTGAGTGTTTCCTGGTAATTGTACCGTTGTGATAGGTTAACGTTGGTGTGACTAATTTGACATCAGGTAGTTGTCGATGTATCTCATCCCAAACTAGCTCATTATTATAATCGGTAGCGACATAGATCACCTCTAATCGGTGAGTATTTTCACCATCAGTTAAAGCTCGTTTGATATCTTTAATTATTGTACGAACTGAATGTGAGCAAACCTCATAAGGTAATTTAATCTCATTCAATTTAATTCCCGCTCGATTGGTACACTGATTCGATGAAAACAATTGGCTCATGTCATTTTCCTTAAGAAGACTACAAGCTTTGACCTAAAGTCCAACAAGAAAAGAGAGAGAGAGAGAGAGAAAGAGAAAATATTAATAGTAATCAACGAAAATTTGAGAAATTAGAAAAACTAATTGGTAACAAATGACTTACCCAATCTGAACCATGTCGAAGATGAATTGCTAAGTATGGTTTTCGTGAGAATCCCCGTTCTGCTCGATATTTGGCAGCTTTTTCAGCAATAGAATCAGTGTAATGAAGATACTTCTGAAGTGGAATAGCCTCCTCATTAGTTGGAAATGCTGATGGGGCTCCTGTTATGAGGAACCATTTTTTTTTAGGTTAAAAAAGTTCGAAACTGTGTCATCATCATAATAATAGAGAAATAGATCGAGGTGGGAATTTCTAACTTACCTACGAAGGCAAGGACATTAATGTGTTTAAATCGCGATTTCCACAGTTTGGCCTCTGAAAATTGCGTGACAAGAGGTTGATGGAAAACGGATGATCGAAAACGGGTAATATTGAAATTGTACCAAAATGGTTTGAATGGACTTCCGTCAAATGGATTACATCCTGGTGTCCGGTCTTTATCACCTCTTCTAGGATCATAACATAATATATATCTTTCATCTGAAACAATAATAATAACATCAATGGAAAAGAGAAAAATTTAGTTTAGAATATTTCTTCAAACAAAACGATAGTTCAATTTACTTTCAGGCCAAATTGTTGGTGCGATATTTTCCATGAAATCTTCCATGGCAATTACTCTATGATATTTTCTAATCGGTTCCAATTGAAAGAAATCATCGAAAGGTGAAAATATAACCTAAAGAGAAAAGAATCATTAAAATAATTAAGAAAAGACATAAACATCATTGAGATTATAACAATAGTCTCAAAATAATCTCAATCCCAAAAGAAAATTCAAAATTTCTTACTTGATAATTACGATACTCTACAAATGGTGGTAAAACTAAGGTACGATCTAGATATTTGGCGAATAGTAAAGAGCCGAGAAATTGTTCTGCTTGATTACCAAAACGTCCTAGTAAATTATAAAAGAAAAGAAGAGAAAAATTAATCAACAATTAGAGAAACAAAAAATGTCATAAACAAAGAGAGAAAGAGAGAGAGAGAGAGAGAGAGAGAGAGAGAGAGTATCAAGTCAGCTGATTGAGAATAGAATCTCAATTACTTACCCATACACGGACAATAAACAATATAACCATTTTTATCAATTGTCACATTAGAAGCTGATACAAAATCAGAGTAAACAATTAAGAAAAAAATAACAATCACACCGGTGCAAAGGGTTAATTGTGATAACATTTTCTTTCCGGCATGTAAACATATAAAGATGATAACAAAAAACAAGCCGACAAAATAACAAAAACACTCACAGAAAAACAAAGAAAGTGAGTAACAAAAAAGTAAACACAATAAACGACACTACCAACAGAATGACCAATGGTCAAGGCAAAGAAGGAAAAAAATGAAAATGATTAAAAAAGAGAATCAAATCAAATCAAAACAATCGATTAAAGGTAAAGATCCATAGGAATGTATGAATGGTGAAAACAAGAGAAAACGTTTACTGATTAATCCGAATAGAAACTAGTCCATTTGGATAAATTATTGGAAACATTTGAAGTGATTAAAGAATCAAATTTCTAGTTAATTAATTTCCACAAAACTGGATTAACAACTAATAAAAGAAATACTGGTTTTCTTTAGACAGAGAAACGTAAACATGGCGAATGGAACCAAAGAATTACATAGAATCACGTGAGAAGAATAAAAAGTTTCCATTGGTAAAATTTTGTTCTTTTCTATTTTTTGTTTTCTCTTCTCTTTTGGTTAATTGTTTTTCATTCGAATGTTTTTCCTTCTAATTAATTATTAGATTATTTTTCTACCTTTTTTTAGATTAGATTCTATTGTGTGTACCTGAGTGACTTTTGTTCTCTAATTATCTCGATAATCAATTTAAACTCTTCCATTGTCTTTGTTTCCCTCAATCTCTCTCTCCTTTTGTGTCTCATTTGTTTCTCTGGTGTTTGTGTACCCGTAATAAAGACAATAGACAAAACGCCCTGTGTTTAATTACCTTTTTGGATTAATTTCTATCCTCTAATTGTGATTAACTCTCAATTATATTCTCAATTTTTTAGGTTTCGCTCTGTAAATTTAACTGTAATCAAAATGTTTCCTTCGTTTACATGGTTAACCTTTGTTGGTTTTTGTCTCTTCTTTCAACCTTTAATCACTTCTGCCAATAATGATTCTAATACTAATCTCCAGGGATTAATTTTGGTAAGTCAACCTTTTTTTCCTCTAATTTAATTGATTTGGATTGATTATTTTCTCTGTTAAATATTTGTTTAGATTGTTCAAAATGGATACACATCAATACCTTCAAATGAAACTTATCCAAACGATGAATATTCTGTATCTGAATATTGGCCTGATGGTTATGGTCAGTTAACTATTGTAAGTGTATTTTAATTATTCTGTTTGACTAATTTTCTAATTGTCTTTATTATTTTGTTTCATCTCTAATTTGATAGTGGGGTAAACAACAATTATACAAACTTGGTCAATCAATTGCATCCAAATACTCAACCTTATTACCAGTTAATCCTCATGATGTTTATATTCAAAGTTACGATGATGTACCAACCTTTGAATCAGCTGAAATCCTTTCCGCTGGTGCTTTTCCTCCGATTGATAGATGGATTTGGAATGAGAAATTACTTTGGCAACCAATTAAGATAAACACTAATCCATCAGCTAATGATACAGTAAGATTGATCAAGATTAATCTATGAATAATCTATAACCTTTTTGTCCTTGTTACAGATTTTAGAACATCAATTCCTTGTGAAATACCAACTTTAAGTAACATTCAAACACGAGAAGCTTACATACAATTGACAAAAGCCCATTCCAACCTGTTGGCCTATGTTGCTGAAGAAACTGGATTAGAGGATATGAGTATTAAACAATTTGTCGATTTGTATAAAATAATTATTCTCGAAGATCATGCAAATCTACCTCGATTGTCTTGGCTTAATCAAACAGTTTGGCAAGAGATGGAAAAATTTGTCTCTGATTTGGCTTATTTGATGTACTCAGACAATTTAGTACAAAAAGCCATAGCCGGACCTTTACTGGCACAAATATCTAAAAATATTGAATCAATTCAACAAGGAAAAGATTCACCAAAGGTTTTCATCTATTTTACCAAACAACCTAAGATGATTTCCTTGTTGACCAGTTTGTTGATTAACAATACTCAAGAAATAGTTACCAAACCAGGAGCAGTTATTGGATTGGAAATTTATTCCAATTCAGGAAAACAACCTTATTTTCATCTAACATTCAATGATGGTGAAAAAACTGAACATTGGAAACCTTTGGCCATGTACGGATGTAATCTCGATTGTCCAATGGATCATTTTTACCGATATGCTCAATTTGTATCACCGATCACTGGAGAAGAGCTTTGTAGTCATTCCGATGGTCAACCAGTAACATTCCCACCAGTACCTCGATCATCATCAGATAATTCAGTTGTCCCTCCATCGGCAGCCTTAAACTCAGAGACTGATGTTTCAACCGATGAAACCTCAGAAAGCAGTGGCGGAGGTAAATTTACTTCGATAGAAACTTCATTTATTCATTGGAACTAAAAACTGAAACTTTTTTCTTTTCTTTTCTTTTTCTAGGTTGGAGTACTTTCTTAATTACTATCCTTTGTTTAGCTTGTGTCGCTTTAATCATTTTCGGAGTTGCCAAGTACGTTAAACGCCAAAGACGAGTTGAATATTTTTTCATCTAAAAACTTTCCGGACAATCAACTTGAAACACTGACCAAATCATTTGTCCATAACATTAATGGTCAACTCAGAGAAAGTCTCAAATAAGATTTGAATACAATCGGAAATATTAATAATTATTTAGACAAGTGTTGAATATAATTTTTCACTTGCAAACAAATTAACAATCAATGAAAATTTACGCAAATTTATTAGGAAACGATCATTTTTTTATCCCTTAACAAGTAAACAAACAATGTAAATGAAACAATCTAATCACCCGAAGAGTGTAAACAAATGAAACAAACTTAATTTGGAAATCAAAACAATTTTAAATTACAATCAAAATTGAATTTTATCAATCGTTTTGATGATAATCAACTTATTTAATTGTTTCGGCGAAAGTTTGAAACTTGAGACATCGATCAGTAAAGACAAAAACAAATGACCATTGTTGACCTAAGGTCTCAATTCTTAAAACTGATGTGCTAATAACAATTAACGTAAAAAATTCGAGATGATTTAGTTATTTGAGTAATAAAATTAAAAATTTTTCGGCCCTCGGAAAAGCTTTTAAGGGGATTAGAGTTTGAGAAAATTAATTTTATCAAGAAAAACAATTAAGCAAATTGCCTTTTCAGTCATAAAAAATCGCTGTTAATTAGTTAAGAAACGAATTTCATCTTTACTATTACAGTTCTAACTTACAATAATCTCTCAAATTTCGTTAAAGTTAAAAAGCAAGAGAGTTATTGAGGAAAAGGATTGGCTGTTGATTTCCTTTGGCCTCAAGTCTTTAAAAGCGAATAATAATTCGCTCTGAAGAATATGAGAAACGATTTAGATACAATCAACAGAGTTTTAAGATTTAAGAAAACAATTCATCTCTTAGATTCGAACCAAAGCAGTTAAGTAAAGTGCACATGTTTTCACATTTAAGTGTTAATTAGTAAACAATTTGGTTAGTATGTAATATATTAAAATTAAAAACACAAGAAAATTAAATCTATTATCGGAAATTTATTACAATTGAAAAAGCAAACTTATTTGATTATTAATATTCAAAGATCGAAAAAAAACTTCCCATCAACATGAGGAAACATCATTTGCCCATCTCCGCTCTTCTCAACAATACTGAATACAAGGTTTCGATTCTCTTTTCGGCAAAAATCATCGACCATTTTCACCATTTCACTTGCGTCATTAGGGGCGGTTATCGGATGATAGTCAAGAAGACATAAATTTGGCATCATCTTGATTATATCGATTGCGTCTTCTTTTGTCAAAATATTAATTCGGCCAATTATCGTCAGGTTGGTACAATTGGGAAAATGAAATGCAGTTCTTTTGATTACAAGACGGGCTTTTCTTCTACTTTCCTTAGGTTCGAAATTGAGAGCGACTTTTCTGACACTGTGATTCTTCTTAGAACGAAAGCGTGAGTATCGTTTAGAACGCGTATACCTTGCATAGTAATAAATTTGTAAATTTTTCAAATCAGGAAAGTAGGATGACAGTGGACCATGAAAGTGGAGATGATCGCACGATGTGAAAAAGATTTCTTCCACTCCTGGGAAGAATCGGCTGTAGCTGAACTCGGCTGAAAAAAGAATAAAAATCAGTTTCTCTAATTAAAGACGAATGAGAGTTGGAATTACCTTCGGAATCGTCTAAATAGAGTTTTTTGAGATTCGGCATTTGAGCAGCGTAATTTTCGAAGACTTCCAAGCGAACTCCACCGAAATCACCAAACTTTTCCAAATTTGCTCCAAATTTACATTCAACGAAAAAAAGATCAAGAAATTTTCCATCGTTCACCAATAGTTGAGTAATGTGGCCACAATTTGCAACAATCTGTTCGTCAATATCAACATGCTTATATTGAAGAAATCTTTTACATTCAAGGTAAGTGTACAATCCACTAAGTGGATTCCCAGAGGACAATACATTCGATACAACTTTACATGGGCACGTTTTTTGAAAATCCCGAGCTTGCAGTACCTTGAGGTTTGGAAATACTTCGGCGACATTTATATTTTCCATGAATCGAAAGCTCTCAGTGTAGATATTGTGAGGTGGAGGTAATATCGTTTTCTGTGACCCACCTATTAGAAGAAATAAAAGATAAATAATTACAAAAAGAAAATGTTTAATTCGTTATTGAATGTTTTCAATCTGATAACTTACACGTTAAAGTTGTGATTTTCTCATATCGAATCTGAACCAATTTCCGCCATTTTGAACAAACTTTTGTAAGTAAAAGAACAAGTTAAAAGTTACAAATTATAAGTAAATATTGAGAATATAATTGTTTTTACCTTTAGACGAAGATATAAGATCTTCAAGTTTATCGAAGTTATCGAATATTTTCATTAAACTAATATCAGGTAGATTGTTGATACTCATGGTGATGAGAAAGTTAAAAAGCACTTGAAAAGTTTGCACGTTGGAAAAACTTTTGACTGGAAAGTTTAAACTTTCGGTTGAAGATTCTTATTGGAACTTTTTGGCCTTAAAGATGGTTCCCATGGAAACACGAGAGCTCTCATCAAAAAGAACATTGCCCGCTCTTTACGAAAACTTCCCCAATTCATTACGACTTAAAATGCAAAATAACTTCAACATTTTCATCCAGCAAAGTGATAAACTGACCAGTATTCGCCAATTTTAAACTATTTATCGGAAATTCATTATCGCAGTTGTTGCAATCTTATAGCTCGTTGTTCATATTTACCTACCCAGTGCTTACTGTTCCCTTCAACTGGACACTTTCAACTTATGGCCGAATCGATCAACTGACCAAATCAGATTTTTAACTTGGTTCACTTGATTTTGGCCTCGTAAATCACATTTACCTCTGGTT